TTCAGGTTCACAGTGTGATGTGTTCAGGTTCACACTGTGATGTGTTCAGGTTCAGTGTGATGTGTTCAGGTTCACAGTGTGATGTGTTCAGGTTCACAGTGTGATGTGTTCAGGTTCACACTGTGATGTGTTCAGGTTCAGTCACCGTGTCGGATGTGTTCAGGATGTGGCTCCTTGAAGTGGAGCTGGTACGGTAGGAAGGCCAGGCTCCTCCTGGTGGGTTTATCTCTGATTTCGTCCACCACATCTCTCAGAGTGTAGATGTTCCTGCCGATGTCCTGCAACACAAACCAGTGAGASAACTTCAACCAACTGGAGCTTCAGTTTAGCAGATGTTGACTTCTGCAGACTGGGATCATCCCACAGAGCTCCAGTTYAAGTTTTCTGATTGATGCTTCCTCRGTGGTTCAACCAACTAAACTTATGAAGCTGACATGGATGGACTGAGTCTCCGCTTTCCGTGAAATCAAACTATATGACGTCATTAGTCATGAAAAATTAAGTAACTTMACCTGCATCACACCTGCTCAGTGTCGACCTGAGACCCTTTAAATTTATCGTGGCCTCTTTCTGGCCGACCATGATCTGCTGCCGACGGTCAGAGCCTCTYCACGGGCTGAGCTTCGGTTCGTGTGACCCGACTCTCTGACAGAACCTCTCACCTGACGCTCTCCATCACCTACACAACACMTGCTCACGTCACAGTCTCACCTGCAAAGACGCTTTCTTTAAAAACGYTCCAGCGTCCGCGACAACATGCTCCACCAGGGTCTGCGCCATCTTGATGTCGTCACGTAGTGCTGCGGCGACCAATCAGAGGAAATCCTCCCGCAACGTGTGGACGGCTTTAAACGCATCATCCGTGTAGGAAATTTAAAAACTTCGTGTCAATTATTTTTTACAGTAGTTATTTTAGCGTTTTTATGGATCATTTTTAAATAATGTAACAGTTTTGTTGTCATATTATGGAAGACTTGGATCTGATTCATGGTAATTAATGAACTATTTAGATATTATTTTCATAGTTTTATATTTTCCCAGTGCCATTGAAGGCCTCATCACTTCACAAAACGTCACGTGACTGTTTGTTTGGAAACCGGAGGAAGATGGCGGCGCGCTGGAGCAGTGAAAATGTAGTGGTGGAGTTTCGGGACGCTCAGGTTGTTTATTGTTTGATTGTTTGTTTGTTTGTTTGAAAGTTTCTCCCTGTCGTGAAACAGTTCTTTGACTCGAGTTTTTAATTATTAATCAACGCGAACGATATCCGAGCAGAATAACATGATGTTTTAGTAGTRGTGCTGGAAGACCCCAAAAAGGAAATTATTTAACTATTTCTGCACTTTGTAACGAAACAACACCGTTAATCACTTTATGTAACAAGAGAAGTAAAAAAAAAAGAAGAAATTATTAATGCAAACTGATTCTATCATCAGACCTTTACGTCACGTCTCTGAGGAGGAGGTAAACAGATCGATCCACATAAATCCACTCACCTGGATTATATGTTGTAGGTCCACATGTCTTCAAGCTTCAGCTACACAACAGACTCACAGACTAGGAATTTGCTTAGGTGTAAAGGTGCAATAAATATAAACTATGACAAATAAAGGAAATATGAAGGAAAAAATGGAAAAAAAATATAAAACATATGTACACCAGTTCAATACAGTAATTTGAGAAGATAATATAGTGAAGAGTTGTGCAGTTTAAAATCCTGTGATAAAATGGCCGAGGCAAAGTTTTAGAGTCACGTGATTCTAAATGTTCACGAGTCTGACGGCAGACACCAAACATGTCTACGTTTAACTAAAATAACTTAGAATAATTAAAATATAAAACCAGGGGTTTGGGCTTAAAGGATGAATGAACCAGTTGGCGGGCCGAACTTTAGTCACTCGCGGGTTGGATGTGGCCCGCGGGCTGCCAGTTGAATAGCCCTGACCTAGTCTGATCTGCAGGGTTCAGAGTTTTGAACCAACCACAATTAAACTCACTCCATCCAGGAGGCACAAGTTATCTGGGTAGTTTTCTTTCTTTTGAACAATGACGAGCCAAAATGAACACATGGAGTAAGAGTAATGAGGCTATTTTTTAAAATACAACAAGTTAAAGTAAAAAAATTAGCTAAAAAATAATAATGATTACTCCGGTAAAGATAAGTTAAGGTAAAAGTATTTCTACTTCGTTACATCTCTGATGTTGTGTGTTGTTGTGTTTCAGATGTTTTGTTGGGTCATGCATGAAAACAAACCTTGTTGTGTTGTGTTTCAGGCCACGGCCATGTCTGTGGATTGCCTGGGCTCCCACGCTGTTCTGTCTTGGTAAGTTCCTGCCACCTGCTCAGGGTTCCTTAAAGGGCCAATATTATGTGTTTCTCAGGCATATATTTAAATACTATACCATAATAAAGTATCTATGTCACATTTAGTTGTTATTAAAATGCTGTTTTTATG